AAAAAACATAGTGGATTTAGAACCATGAGAGGATTTTGTTACCATAGGCAGAATACCATTACGTTATACAGGCAGTAGGCAGAATGTTACAATGACAGCATATTATAGTGTTTGAGTGGACCTAGATATTCTAGCACATGTCATTAGGGTAGCTCTTCTTTCCTCTTCAAACTGATGAAGACATGATGTTAAATGTACATTTTTGTTGGCAGTGCTTCTGCATTAACCTCTTCTGCCAGGGCTTTCATCTTCTCTCCTCTCTGGTTGACAGAACTGTACCAAGGGAAATTTGCGTTTCTGACTTTTTAAGGAAATTTCTTTTTAATAAATTCATTAAAATTTTTGTATGTTACGATATCAGTCTGTGTTCTCACTAATGAATATTCACACTATTACACTAATTTTGATTATTTACAAACAAACATGAGACAGCTCTTGGGGCCATTTGTACAGTTTTAAGATTGCATTTTTTTCTTAACTTAAATGTGTGTATCTCTTTGCTGTGTAAAAATAAAAGTTAGCCACCATCATAATCATTACTGAAAATCTAATTTATTGGTAATACACAAAAATCCCCCAGTGGAAACAGATGGATTTTTCTTCACTTTAACAGTAAAGATTGTATTCTTCAACAGTTGTTGAGAAGATTCTGAGACTTATTTTTCAGGTTCTTTCTCCTCCATATTAAAGCATTTCTCTGGTTCTCTTCTGGTTCTCATATTCTCTTTTATTGATTACGTCCTTACAGCTTAAAATGATATTATAATGCTTCTAATTATGGATATTTATATTTTTTGTCTCAGCCTCTGTCAAATCATTAGTAAGAAGGTTTTCAGATAGTTTTTCTGTTTGAATTTATCCCTTTGTTAGAACTGAAAGAATTGGTTGATCATATTCTTTCCTGATTTTCTGTATCAAGTGTAAAAAACTGCAAGACACTAACTGAAAATGAATTATTCTTTCTTGCTGACATTTTCATTACATTTGGCTTTAACAAGTGTTCATCTTTTTACTGGTAAATTCTTGTTTCTTTTGTATTTTTGCAGAAGTCGGCAAGTTGTTCAAAAGTTCTATGTTTGTAATCAGGCAGGTTCTGTAGGATATACATGTTACTGTGTGTAAACTAAAATCCACATGTGTATATAGAATATTCTTCCTGTGCAACGTGCCTCAAGAAAATTTGGCTTAATTTGAGGCTGCCCTGCAGGTTTGCTGCTGTCATGTTGCACATCACATTTCTCAGTAGTTTCATCAGGTTCACAGAAACTGATGTTGCTTCTTCAGTTCCCCTTGATCTCATCATCCCACTGATATTTTGTGTGACTCTCTTGCCTTACATCCAGCACAGTTCTCTTTCTTTTTTAAAGCAGTTTGTGGGGTGCACAGGACACTGAATGGTGCTAGTGTTTTGTAACAGGGCACTGAATGGTGCTAGTATTTGGTAACAGGGACAGATAAAGCATTTTTAGTTCATATGGGTTAGCAATTTTAATTCCATGAGCCCAGACAAAGGAATACAAATTCCCCAAAGGAATACAATCATGAACTGCACTGTAGAAGCAGCACATGGAGAATGTTACAGCATTTTGTGTCGTGAACTGTTATATATTTTAATCCATCATATATACATACCATGATTTACTGCTTTATTAAACTAATATAGTTAAATTAGTATTAAATGGACTAAAGGGGTAATTGCCTATGATTACTTCCAATGGCTTGCATGAGCCCTAAATTTTTAAATTAATGCCCAGAATAGCTATAAACTGAGCCCTGGCCATTTAGTTCGCTATCCACAGGGAGTAGACAAGGCATAGTGGGATGGCTCTTACACAGTTTGGAAACTGCTTCAAGGATAAGTTCCACTAAACCCTGATGCCCAAATATATTGCATTAGCATGGGACTGGCTGAAGGGATCCAGAAGCACTGGAGAGGAGAATTCGAATTTACTTCATCTCATGGGCAGCAGCACCCATGGGTGTAGGAGGTGTAGTCCCACCCAAAGGGTAGGAGGTGCTGGCAAATGCAGTGGTAGAAAAGAGAAAGGATATTTTGTGCAGTGTTTTCTTCTGCAACAACTCTTTGCCTCCTCCAGAGGAGAGAGTGAGTAGCTGTTGCACTATTGTGTCAATAACACAGAGCAATCTGTGCCTTGCTGACAGCAATTATGTCCCTGATGTCAACTAACGCTTCATATCAATTAATATTTCTGAGCCAAGAAGAGCCCCAGTGGCCATGTGACAAAAGCAGTAATCCAGCAAGGACAAAAGTTAAAATGTTGCTTTTCCTTACAAATCAAACAAAGCTTGCAAAAAGCTGTGTTTTTACAATCCTCCTGTATGTGTTCTTTGGAGTGGCTGGGAGACATCTGTCATGGCGAAGAAGAATCAGGTGACTCAGGCCTCAGAGGGGTAGTTAATCATTGCAGTCATTCTGAAAGGCTGAGAGCTTGAACATTCTCATTCTCCCTTAGTACACCATAGAAAAGTAGTGATTTTTTTTTTTCTTATCACTTTTCTTGCACACTTCATCTTTTTTCAGCCAATGCAGTAAGAAACCCTTTCTTAAACAATACATAACCTTTCTTTAGAATTTTGTTTTGTATCACAGGCCTTATAACATTAAAAAAAAGGTGAGAATTTTTAAATACACGCATAGAATTTTCTCACAGATTTGTGTGGTCTTTATCTGCTGGATTCTTTTCAGTTTTCTCCCTGAAAAAAAAATTGTAGTAATGTTTCCTGTAATTATTTTACTCATACTATCCTGTGTTTTTACTAAGGCTTGAAGACCTGCATTTCTTCTTGTATACATTTTTAAAAGTTGTATCTAATGAGAGGAGCAGAACAGTGTTAAAATACAGAAAAGTTTGTAGCCAATCACTAAAATCCCTCTTCTGCTCATTGTTATAGCACCCACTAATATTTAACCTACTTCAGTACTTGAAGGGGTGTCCCTACAGCTTCTAGGATGAGGCCTGATTTTTGTTTCTCTTCCCAGGAACTGGCTTTCCTCATTCAAAAAAGCATTGTCAAAGCAGCTAAAGGGATTTAGGTGCCCAGATCCTAATGATGATTTGATGTGGGTCTTTGAAGGTAACTGAGACAAGCCAGCATACTTAGAGAAACACAGCAGCATTTCCATTATGCTGAGGGATAGTGGGCAGGGGTTTGGATGTGTTGTGGCCATTCTGTACAATGCTCAGTGGAGAGGACTCACAAATGTTGATGTTTCTATAGAATATTATTTTTTTCACTCTGTTATGTTCCTCACCACTTCCTAGGATTCCCCCTGGAGATAATTAGGTATCATGCTGAAACACCTTCCCACAAAGTGAATGTTGAAGAAGGGAAGCAGCTGGATGAGGATGTGTCTGTTGCTGAGGTTGAACAGTCAGCCTGTGTCCTTGAACAAAGCCCCCGATCTCAAAGGACTTTCTGCTGAAATATACAAACAGTTCCAGCAAATTTTGGAAAATTTCCTAACTAAAAATGGAATGAGTCATCCACATCAGTTTTGTATCTGCTGTTAGCTCAGTTAATAGCCATCTATTCAGGAAAAATGACAAGAATCATGGAAGTTGTGTCTCCTACAGAGCTATTTTGTTACACAGTACAGATACTAAATTGCTTTCTAATCTATAATTCTGAATATTTTTTCCACTTTTGTTCATTAAGAGTGAACTTTTTTCACATGGAAAGGATGTGACTTGCACATTCAAAGGCTACATGTACAACATTGTACACTGTATTCAGCATAGGACCGGAATATTGAGTGAATATAGAAACAGCTTTTCATAAGGTACACTGGTGCTGTCATGGCATGGTAACCAAGAAATAAATTTATCTTGCTAAATGAACATTCATCTCTTCCTTGGATACAATACAAATCAAAGAGAGTTGACTGAATAGGATACTTAAATGCAGACTCTAGAAAACGAAGATAATTCTCAGATATAAATAACCCAACATTTAAAATTAAGGCAGAAACCCCAAGATTGTCCCTGCCTATAGAGTTGAGCTTTTACAGTTTTGAACAAAATCCTCAGTGTGCTTGGATGAACCGGAACTTTTGTTTTGCTTATTACCTGCTTTTTACATAAAATAACCTGCTGACCAAAAATAATTCACTTATACCTGGGTGCGTATCCTTTCGTATGTTGAAGGGGAACTTGTGTTCAGTAATTCTCCTTGTGTTGTCTTGCCCGGCATGAGAGGAAGAAAAATATCACATGAATATTTTACGGTCCAGTCCAATTCTGAACTCTGATCCAAACCCTGATCAATGGATGTTGTGGTTTAAAGACCTATTGACCAAGAACAGATGAATGCAGTAAGAGTTTGAAGCAGGCATGTTTTGTTTCCCACCACATGAGACAGCAATGTGTGCTGTGCCGGTTGACTCTGGCTTTATTTCTATATAGCTGTAGCAGACGAATCAATTGTTCAGCAGTCAGTTTCCTTAGAAGTAAAATAAATCTATGTGATATATAAAGAATAAAATACTTATCAATATTATGGCTATTTTTGTAATTATCTCAAATAGTGGCCTGTTTCCTGCAGCTTTGAGTCAGGCAGGGAAGATGTCTAACTCTGAATTCTACCCTTTAGTAAATTTTACTTTCAGTTCTTAGGAGAGCAAAAAGGAAAGAAAACATTCAAATTGACTTGGTATCTCGTAGGAGACACAACAGCAGGGTGTCAGTGTTACCTGCAGTACCTTGGTAAATGCCTGTGTGCATAGGTCAGCAAAATGCTGTGGGATCTGCAGCTCTAAGAACAAGCACAAGTTCTATAGCCGTTGGGTTTTTTCAAATTATACCTTAAAGTTATGGTGAGTTGTTTTCTACATACATGCAATGGGTTGGTAAAACAAATCAGTAGTTATTCCCAGAAGATTTGATTTAACCCGTTCTCAAGTGTCAGAACACACATTTCTCCTCCATTGGGAATCCTGGGAGCTGACACTTTACCTAGCGTTTGTTGCATTCGCTTTCCAGATCACGTGAATGGCCACTGCACAAGCCCAACATCCCAGAGCTGCAGTTCAGGCAAGCGACTTTCCAGTGCAGATGTGTCGAGAGCAAACCGCCGAGGGCCTGGCAGGCCCCCCTTCAGGAAAGCCCAGTCTGCAGCCTGCATGGAGATTTCTCTGCCAGTCACCACAGAAGGTGGGTGGCAATGACTGTTTTGCCAGCTATTTGTGAATTTCTCACTGTCGGAATCTGTGGTATTGATGATTCCGAAATTGTAAAAAGTCTTTCTTTCTGCCCCGTTGCCAAAGAAGAAGCCATAATTCGTCTGTGCTGGTTTCAAGGTTGTTTATTCTTGCTTATCTCTAACATGTTCTGCTGCCCTGCCGCAGGTCTGTCCTGCAGGGCAGCGTGTGGGGCTCTGCCCTCAGTGGGATGTTACAAACATTATATACCAGAAACTACGTGTGCTATATTTACGATAATGTGCCAATATCTGTCATCTACATTGAACAGTGTGTCCTCAGCCTAAACGAATAGAAAAATGCCAACACTACAGTGAAACATGGAGGGCATGAAGAAGGAGAAAAAGGACAAGACACACCCAATTTCCTCCATCTTGTCCCCTTTGAACCCCTAATCTAGAAACTTAAAATTTTATTTTTGCACCCGTGCCACACTTAATTATTACTCTTATCAAACACTCAGAGCTTGTAATTCATCCTGTAAGATTGAAAACTCTATTCCACAGACAGAGATCAGAGACAGTGTCTCTGGGGGCTCTGTCCAGGGGGGTTCCTGACCCCTGCCAGGGTCCCAGGCCTTCCAGGGCAGCCAGAGGGAAGCTCTGGATTCCCACACTCATCAGGTGTGAAGGGAAGCAGTTCAGCAGGATTCTTGTCTAGGTTATTGCCTTGAGCTAGCTAATGCTTTAAACTGTGATAGGCAATCAGCAGCACCATGATCCCAATCCTCTTTTTGTGAGACTATTTGTATCCTAAGACACCCACCTGCAGGAATGTATGCATCACAGTTACAGCTGGAACCAGTGCTCCCTGATTTCCACACCTATTAATGAAGACAAGGCAAGGGGAATTATATCACTCAGATTGTCTAGCTTTGTATTTTTAAATGGAAATTGTTTCAAATACCTTTGTTATCAGCAGCGCATGGCTAGAAGAGTTGATTTTTTAGTTTTTATGGTAACATATAATAGCAATTTTTTTCCCTCCACGTCAATGACCGATGATGAACATAACATAATCCTTTCATATAGCGCTCTTTATTTGCCACACAAGCATGTCACATAACAGCTCCTGATAGAAAATATACCACTGCCACAGTAGTTTCTATTGCTGAGTGTTTTTCTTCATCCTATGTAGTACCAAACTCTTCTGGAATTCTTGTATGTTACTTGTACCTGCCAAGGCCACAGTATTCTCTAATCCTTTTATGCTGCTTTTTTTCTTCCATCCTCCCAGAGTAAATAGGGTCACTGGTAGGCAGAACCCACAGCCCCCTAAGGTCCCACTGGCTCTTGTGTACAAAACATTTAGCAATACAGTGATATTTTGATGGCATAATGTTGCTTTCTGCATACCTGTGTCATGAAAGATTCACTTTGTCATTCATCACTATTTATAATACCTATCAGGTTTAATTTAAAAGCGTATCTCTTTTAGAGATAATAATCTAACTTGCTTTCAGGCTTGAGAAGTACATTGACATTAAAAATTCCTATTTGAAAGCATCACTTAAATAGTATTCAAAATTTCAGTAAAGTCAGTGAAACAACTGTTGCAAGAGTAAGCCAGACAATCTCCAGAGTCATTTATGTCAGCATGTAATGTGATGGGGCATGGTTGCAGTTTGTCCTTGGGTGTGTGGATTTATGTACAAGTCCCCTTTTAGCAGGTTTGTTAACTAAAATAGTTTTCTGATTATTTGTAGTCTTTCAGTAAAGCAAAGCCTTCTGTCCAGCTTGTCAAAACTATTTTTCAGTTGGCAATATTAGTTTTTTGAGTTCTAGCTCTAGTGCTTGATCTGCCTGGAATTCCACTGTTCTTCATGTATCTTGAATTTCCATACAATCTGTTTTGTCAAGTGGTTTGATGTGTTTCTAAAGGTTTTTCTACTAAATAATATGGTGGAAGGTGGTATGATGCTTGAAAGATTCTTAGTCTGGGTGAGGGAAAAGGAAGAAGAGAAGCTGGAAGGTTTGAAAAAGGATATGCTGAGAATAAGAATTCTCTCTCTAAAGTGAAAGTGGCTTGGATCAAAACCTGGTTGAGCCGTTCCAAAATAAAATGAAAAAATTCCCCTCTCTGCTAAAAATTTATTGGCTACTTATGAGCATATGCTGCAACAAAAAATAGATGTGTTCCCAAGAAATTATTTCCTTTATTTTTAGATTCTCATGAGGTGAGTCAAGATACATGTTTTATATCCTTTCTAGAAGGTAGCATTTAAGGTTAGAATTTGGTAGGATTTTATTATTCTACCAGAGTAGAATTTTGATTAGTTTGCTATCTCAGAAGGACTTCTTAGACATTAAAAAAAAAAAAAAGTCTTTTATGTGTGGGTAAATGGTTCTTACCTTTTTTAAGCCTGTCTCCAAGGCACTGATAATACTTGGAGATTTTTTTAATAATACTTCCAGTTCCTGTTCTTTACAACCTCTTCTATATGATTTGATTAAAAAGATAATACATTTTGGTAAGTAATCATAAGACATATATTAGAATAATAGATTAATCTTCTCCCCTTGCATTGGATTTCAAACTCTACTTACTCAAATCTGACCTCCTGGAATACAAGAGGAGCTGTATTTCCAGCATTTTCATCAAGTCTATATTCAACAAACTTTCACACAATAAATTCTTGTGACTTTGTTCCAGTGAGCTGATTGTCAAGATTTTGCTGACTCTCACCTCTTTACTTCTGCAGAAGGATTCCTGATATAGACAAACATTTTTGAAGAATGTCTTTGCAATGATGAATCATAGGAAGGAAATGGAGGGGGGCAGGGAAGGGCAGGGTAGTTGTCTTGTTGTCTGCTGGTTGAAATATTGCAAACTGCTCAGATTCATACAGTGCTGGTATTTCTGCCACATTCGTAGCAGAATAATTCAAAAGCCAAGTAGCAGTGGTAGAGAAGTGTGCATCATTACTGTTGCTGCCTAAACCTATGTTTTTCCTAGTCTCTTCATCATTTTTGAAATGTTGCATGTTGACTCAGTATCTTCTGCTTTCATTAATGCACTGCTCTCATGGCTGTAGTAAAAAATTCTGTAGTTCTTCAGTATTCTATATCTAATTTTAGCAAAAAAATTAGAACCTTGCAAATTCTCACTAGCATATTATTATTTATAAGGCAGATTTTTTTTTAATGTGAAACACTGGAACAGGTTGCCCACAGAGGTGATCCCTGGAAATATTCAAGGTCAGATTGTTCAGGGCTCAGAGCAACCTGACCTAGTGGAAGCTGTCCCTGTTTGTTGCAGGTGGGTTGGAACCAGATGACCTCTAAAGATTCATTCCAGCCCAAACTACTCTATGATCCCATGATCATTGATTCTAAACAATTTTATTTTAACATACTTTTGATTAAGCAGTATTTTTCTTGAGATAATGTAAGAATTTATGGGCATTGTAAACAAACCCACAAATACAGGAAATTCCATTGCTGAGCTTCAAGTCCCTTTTGAAAATAAGTTTTTGAGATTTCAGGAGTTAGTAATTACATTTCTTTGATAAGGCTTTCTTGCATAGAGTATAAACTAAATTTTTTATTATCAAATTAGCATTGTGCTCTTAAACAGTAATAAAAAACCCACATGAATGCAAATTATTCATAGCCAATGAAATCCTTACAGAGATTCTGACCCATGATAACATTCTGTAGAATGGGAATGTGTTTTGTCTCCAAGGTTAGTGGATTTCTTTGAGGGCTGTAGCCATTTGCATTGCTCATGTTTCAGTCTGTTCCAGCTCTGGGTTCTAACTAGCACCCAATTTTTTCTGCAGGTCTTCACAGAAACACTGAAATAGGGATTAAATTTTTTGTTTAGCTTCCTGGGGAAAATGTGTGGCACAACTGGTTTGCCTTCTGTACTGTGGCACAGACCCAAAATAGTCCATCTCAGCCTAAGAGCTAACATCATAATTTTTAAACCTGCAGAGATCCCAACCTGACCAAGAATCACAGTGTAGATGAATTGATCCCAAATCTCTGCTTCTTTTCCGCACAAGAAAACAAAAAATGTATTTTGTTTGAATTTTTAATTGCAATTTTAGATTAAAGAAACCCCTGAATTACAGAAAACAGTGGCATTAAAGAATAAAAATAAAATTGCTGTGGGAGGGAGCTCAGTGTGGTTGTACTTGTGTAGCTGTTGGGTACATGGATGTGTGCACAGATCCACGTGCTGGCACACATTTCTCTTCTGTGTGTTATGAGAAGTCTTTCAGATTTGATGCTTCTTGGTTATTGGTTGTTTTGGTTTTTTTTCAAACACTGCTTTTTAAAGCTATTTTCATTCTGCAAATGTTTCTCTCTGGCTTGTGCTGGCCAAGTCTGCCATTATTTTCTCCTTGTCTTTATCCATACAGAAATCTAGGCATTCTGCATAGATATATCCACCTGTGGTTCCATCATACATCATGGGAAGAGAGTAAAGACAGAGTGGAGTTTTTCCTTTGAAGGGTTGTGTTTGGAAATTCATTTACTTCCAGCAGCAGTGATAGAAAACGATCTTCCTTTTTTACTATTCTTTTTATTCCCCACTATGTAGTTTTTAATTAGTCCAGCCTAATCACCTTGTTCTATGAAGGCCATTCACATATTGGTGTTACAAAATTGCTTCTGAACCAGGAATCCTAGCAAGGTTTTGCTGTGCATTATAATTTTCTAAGAATGCTAAGAAGAAAGACTTGGAATTTGCTTTAGCTTTCCTTTAAAACGATTCCGTTTCAGCACTTAGCTTTTGGATTAACTCTTTTGATTATATGTAGTTAAAATTTGATACAGAGCACTTGAATTGAAATGTCACTGTGAGCTGGCAAAACAAACCACTCAAGTAGTTATTATTTTTAATAACCTTATCAAAATTCTATGGCAAGTACAAGACAATTTCCATTTTAACTGATGCAGTATACTTTTATACCTGAAGCTTTTCTTTTGTGTCTTTATATGCATA